CTCCTTCAGCGGTCTTTGCTATTTTACCTGTTATACCGAGTAGTGGATTTAGTAGTGGATTTCTTGGAACAAGTTTTCCCTTAATACAAGCTGTTGTTAAAATAAAACTTGGGCCCTTTTGGCTGCGTGCTGCCCAATCACCAGCAGTTCTACCCCAGTTAATGAGGGGAGGATTATGCACAGGCAGCATGTCTGAGATAGTATAGTTAAAAGAGAATCTGTTCGTAAAGCTGTTGACTTTGCTTTGGTTTTATCATTTAGAGAAAACCCCTCCTCAATCTGTCCAGGGTAGCCTGGCTCTTCTAGCCTCACCAAAAACCACACCAGTCTGAAGTACGCAGGACAGCCGCCTTTTTACCACTAGATACCCAAGAAGCCATTAAGAAATGCCAAGATAATAGTTCTATGAAGCATAATGGAAGAACATACGCTTTTGTCTTCACCTAGCTTCTGCCACCTAAACTCCTTCAGCCTTGTTATGTCGTTGAATACCCTGGCTGTCTTGCACTTCTCCAGCTCTCACAGTGCACCACTCTCCCAGTCTGTCTCACTCTGGGTACCAAAATACCCAGAACCAGCAACTCACTTTCCACATAATAAGGCTCAGCTTCACTGCTAAGAAGATACAAAAAACAAAGTCTATTTCCTTAGCAGTACTTTCAAGGTAAAAACCAAGCTGTACAGAAGTGTAAAACAACACAAGACCTGGAACAAGTCCTTCAGATTAAGTCTTACACTGGAAGAGTTCTTCTAAAAAGCACCCGTTCAGCTGCAAGTAACAACAAACTGAAGGCAAGACTAAGAAAGACTCAAGCTTCCCATACGTGGAATTCAGTTCAGACACTGATCGAGCTCTAACCTGTTTAGAATAAAAGCAGAAACAGCCTTCTAATTTAAGAGAAATTCTGGTCTTGCTGCACATGCTCACTTCGGACTCTAGCTCAGTCATTTAGCACAAGCTAGTCTTCTGGATCCAACTTCCAGATCAATAGTTTTCAGTTGCTGTGCAGCAATGAAGACTGATAAAAAGCTAGCTCCATTGAACAACCACCGCAGTCTGAACAGCATGCAAAATCCTACATCAGATTTTATTCTAAGTGCTTTCTTAGCGGACCGCACTGAGTTGTTCCTTCTGTGTGCCAACAGTCTGTAGCAGTACTACTCAAAATGAAAACAAGTTAAAGTAATGCAAGTAGGCATGAGATTTAAATTACAAACGGAAAGTGACAGTCAAGCCCTTTAACTAGAACAATTTGATCCCACGCTATATTAGCTAGATCATCCCTAAAGAACTCTCAAGGTGGATTTTCATCAGTCATTTAGTTTACAGATTTAAGGTCTGGTCAAAGCTTAGTTGCAGGCTAACTGCTTTTACCATTGCTGTAATAGAGTGAAAGGCTTGCTTTTTTTTTTAAAAAAAAAGCTTCCCCGGTAAACAGTTCCATTGCATGGAATTGTTATTCATGCAATGCATCGTTCAGGAACCCGTGTGTAAGAGGCCTGAGCCTTCTGACCAGATTCTTATATCAAAACACAGCTTTTTGTTTAAGGTAAGGATTAACTGCCACCACTCATTATCACAAATGTTATTTGCACAGTTGGTTTTTGAGCAGAATCAGTGCAATATAAGAAGGAATTTCTTACAAGAAGTATTTAACCTTTAGAAACGTCAGCTCCTGAACCTTACGTCTATGCTAGGAGACCATCAGTTTGTTCTAAGACGCTTTTATGCTACTACAGCGACAACATACCTCTCTTCAGACAACCTCAAGCCCCGTGGCCAAGGTTCCCACCCAGCGGACACCTCAGCCTGGCTGCAGCGTGAGCGCTGCCCTCAGCCCGCCTGGCCGGCGCGCGCTCCGGG